GTGTGTGTGTGTGTGTCTGTGTGAGAGTCTGAGAGAGTGTGTTCTGAAAGGACGGAGGGAGCGAGGGAGGGAGGTAGGCGGGTAGGTATGCAGGTCGGTGGTGGCAAGTACTGTAAACCGGCAGACATAATGCACACACGGATCTGCCTGCTCGCTTGTGTCTGGGCCGTAGTTTCTTGGCACTTCTGCGATGCATCGGCGACGTCCAGCACAGTGCCTTCAGCGAGGGCGATGATGCAGACTGGGCGTCCCTAATGGCCCCAAACCGCAACCCATTGCAGCGTGTCATGGAGAGCCAGTGAGAGCTGCTGAGCTCACAGCAGGCTACGTAGAGCTGAGATCTCTTCAAAGCCTCGGCCTGCCCCGAACTCTGAGATCGCATAGCAAGGCACAGCAGGGTACCCGTCGGCCTTGATGAGGTTGCTTCCACTTTGCACCAAAACCTCAAAGACGGTATCTCACCGGGAGAAATTGAAAGAATCGACTGAGCGGTCTACACGCAAGAACAGTGCAGCCATTTCGCCACGTCGTGCCTGGACACGCTCCGAGTGCACCACATGCATGCGAGATGCGCCATGCGTTCAGTGTGTACTCTCGGACACTCGCATGACATGAACATACCTCTCTCGTCATTGTCATAGAGTCGCACAATGTCGCACATACATACTGATAACAAGGGCACGAAAGGATCATGAGACAAATCTTGCTTCACATACACACCCTCCAAGCCCCACGACATCCCACGACGTGACGGCCGAAGGCGGCCTGCTGTGTGTGTGCATAGAAGGCCTCGGAAGCAGACATCGAAGGCCTTCCTGTGACGCTTTCAGCCAAGAGCCCGAGCATCCGAGAGCCCCGGGCCATGCTGCAGACTCCAGGCTTCACCGACTCCCCCAGCGCACCCCTCCAGGCCTCACAGAGCTGGCTTTTTTTGTGGGATGTGGGGGTTGCCTGTGTTCTGCCGCGGCACTTCTGCGGACAGCTGCGGAGGTTCTGCGCCATCCTCCGGTTGCAAGCACAGCCAGCACCGCACGGAAAGCTTGGAATAGCTGAGGCAAGCACTGCAGATGCATCAGCTGCACTGTGAAGCGCATCCTGCGGTCTGACTGCAAATACTGCGAACTGCATGGAACCTGCCATGGGTCGCTTTTATCAGGTCGGCAATACCCTTGCATCAGCGGTGCGGTCAGTAGGCACCTCGGAAACCTGATACGCAGTTGAGCCACGGTGAGCCAGTTAGCAGCCACAACAGCATGAGTCAGTACGGGCGAAGAATATCAACACGATTGCGGACGTACCCTTATGTCAACCGCAGAGTTTCATGTGAGGTTGGCACGCCAAGATTCGGAAAACTACGATACATCATAACAAAAAATAAAAAGCAAAAAGCGGCAAAGCTTGAGCACACCTGAAGATCTCGAAACATGCCAACATATGCGAACTGGGGTAGGCTAGGTCTAGGGCCCAGGGTTAAGCACAGTACCTAAGCCCCAAACATGGCCCGAAATGCCACAACCCCACTCAAACAACCGCGAGCAAAGGTGAATGCATCTTTTACAAACAGGCGCGAATACTCCCACCACGAGACATGCGGGCTGAGACCAGGAAGAAGTTCTTGGTCCTGTGCTGGTAGGGAAGCAGACCACGTCCGCTTTGCCCAGAGCCGGATAGCTCCGTCTGCTCCTCCAGTGACCTTGCAGGAAATTCATGTGCTCAGCGTTTTTTGCACTCTCTTCACAGAGAGGCGAACGGATTCTCGAAGCTATTGCAGTGGCAGCAGCAGCAGCACGCAAGGGAACACATGCTCCGGATTCATTCGCGATTGAACTAACTAGCGCGAAGAGTATCGCAGAGCCCGTCACAAAACGACCATCCGCACACTCCGCCAAAGCTGTGACACGGTCCGTGTGACCTTGGGCGCCAGCAAGCACAGCACGATAGGCACCGCAGAGGCAAGACGGAGTTTCCACTATGCAGAGTGCTACGCAGCGTTAATCTCAGGGCGCTGCCATAGAGAACCCAAGAAACCGTGGCCGTGCAAGGGTCGATGAGGTTCACATCACTGCCTGCGGCAGAACTTCAAGAGACCCGGCTTGCGGCTGCCGCTGAAAAAAAATGCTGCCATGTGCCTTTGAAGCCCACAGCGAGCAATCCGTCGTGCAACTCAAGACCTGAAGCCCCCCCTTCTCCCGTGCATCGTGTGGTCACGTAACCGGCTTGACTGGGGTACGCCGTAGGTCTGCTACAGTGTAGCCAGCTGTTCTGCAGCAGCTCGCGCTGCACACATGAACATGTTGAGGCTGCTTGCTAGTTCCCTTTCCGTGCCACTGAGTTCCTGGCAACTGGTGATTGCCGCTTCGGACCGCCACTCGCTGATTAAGGTGACCTGCACTGCGATGCCCCGGGACCAGAAACCCGCAGTCTCAGACGCTGCTCGATGGGCAAACGAAAGCTTTCGGCGACACAAGCGCGATGGAGAGCCTCCTCAGCTTTCGACTGACAGGAGCATAGTACTCAGCACGTTTTCCATCGCAGAGAGGGCGACAGGGCGCACCATTGAGTTTGCCACAAAGCACGAGGCATGTGGAACTGATCACACGCAGACATGCAGGTGAACGAAAATGCACCAGCACCAAGCACCTACGCTTGGGGAAAGCATCCGCTGTGCTAGTCGAGCACCTGGCCTCAGGCATGCATGCAGCCTTCCAGAGCTGTGGCTTAGTTGATGCTTGCTAAGCACGAAGAGGCCGCAAACTCAAACCTGGGAATCTCTTGTATCAATGGGTGTCGCTCAGCCAGTGGATTACCAAGCTGCCGAGCCCCAACGATATATCCATAAACATGAGCACAGGAGAGTTAGTCTCCTCGGCCCTCTCGAGCTGCGAGAATTTGTGATGGACATCTTGCTTCAGCACGCTCGAACAAAGGCTCCAAAGGGGTTGATCTTCAACTCGGGAGACTCTCTCACCGTGTCTTCTAGACTGGTCTAAGCCTCGGAGTCATGAGGAAAAGGGGGTTGGCGCAGCTGCACCAATTCAGGCTGAACTGCTTTCACTGTGAGGATTGCCCCAGGTTCCCGTGTCCTCCAGGCCGTTGAGATCTTGCTATGCGTTATCGACCAAACTGCCACATTCCGTCCACAGGGCTCCGTGGACTGCTGCCACAACTTATAATCGTATATCAGATATCAGCCAGTGTATCACTACGGGTAGGTCACTCTGAGTACTATACATAGCACAGGACACCCCAAAGAACTAAGCCAGCGCCAGTGGGGGCAGCGTCACTCTCACAGAGGACTCAGCCTGCGCGTCAGAAAGCTTCGCACTGCTTGGGGCGAGCGTTTCTAGGGAGCCTGGGCCTGGGACTCGTGGAGGGGGCGAGTTTTGCCTTTCGTTGACCCCAAACGTGCCTTGGGCTGCCTCGGAGACCGCTTGGACAAGGCGAGCCCCAGGGACATGCGAAGCGCTTCGCCTGGCATCTCAAGCCCGAGCCGCACATTTTTTTTTAACCTAGCCTAGACCAGTCAGCGTAGACCAAGAGCCAATGCCAGAACCTTTGGAGCAGCCCCGAGGCTCCTAAGATCACCCATTGCGCCCAAAATGCACAGGATTCGAGTCACCATCAAACTGCGCAGGGCACTGGTGGGAAGCAGAGTCCCCTCCCAAAATACCTTCCGGCATTCCAAGACCCCTTCCAGAACGGTGAGGTGTCGTGCAGGAGAAGACCCATGGTATGGGCCCAATGCACTTTAGCGATTTCAAGCGGCTTGAAGACCAAATGAAGATGGGACTGTGGCGGAAGCATGATTAAAATGTTCACGTTACTTTGCTCGAGCGCGAGTCGTCAAGATAACGAGCCGGGCACAGTACAGCGGGGAACAACAAACCGTGCAGCATGTCATGTTTTATCTCGCACCGATTAGAGCTACTTGCGCCATTACAGATCGTATGTGCTGTTATTAAGAGTTCTCTGATCGCCTGGTACTCGGTCCTCCCCAGCCGTGGTGGCGGTGCTATCGGGGGAGCCCGACGCGTAGCCCTTGTAGCCCTTGGAGCACGCAAGACTTGGAGGCAGCAGCAGTCAGGAATCTTCCGTGAGAATGGCTGCTCGGAACCGAGATGCTGCCTTCCGAGACTGTACACTGCGGATGGCTTTCTCGACATTGGCCAGCTTTCGCCCCACCTGTTCAGGCTCTGTTGAAGATTATGGACTCGGGCTTTCAGGCCATGTCACACCTTCGGATCACCAGTCGTCTACCCTGCATCTGCAAAACTGCAGAGGCGACTCGCGGCGACAGCGACACTGCACTAGCAGCTTCAGGGTACAAGAGCACAAGCTGCTTCAAAGGCTCAGCGCCTTTTGCAACGCCTTGGCGGCTTCGTGGTTTCGTTCCTCGAGGCAGTCAAGTAAGTCAGGGCGGGGAAAATGGAGAAACGAAAAAGAAGCACACCGTGGCCACCGTCTTTTCCAATGCACTGAGCCAGGGAGCTTCGAGCTGACTCAGGGACTCCTCCGCCCCCTGCAAGCTGGAGGAGACCCTTAGTGATCATCGAATCTTCTTTCATGGCTGCCCTCCCCGCAATTACGACGGTTTCTGCAGTACGCACTTGCGCACGCAAACTTGCTCATTGAAATGAGCTGGCCGGGAAAGGAAGTGCAGTGTGCCCCTCCTCTTGCTTAGGCAGCCGCTGCCTGCATGCACCATGCACGACCGTCAGCCGGGAGTCCTCGGGTTTGCAAACGCCATGTCGAGTCTTACAAACTCGCTCCTCACCATCGTCTGCAGTGTCTCTGCACGACTACTGCGGCTCTGGACTCTACAGGTACTTATCAGACTTGCTCTGAGCTGCCGGCCTCCTGTGCTCCCTGGCACAAGACAGGGAATTGCTGAGTGATGCTTTCGGCTACGTGCTCGCACGGATCCAAAGGAGTGCAAAACATCGTGGCTGAACGACCACGACCAGCATGAACAGAACAACACTACGGCTAGTTTTCCCCTCCTACTTAGCCAGGACAAAGCCCGCATTGCAGGGTAACTCCAGAACAGTGGACTACAGGAAGACTACTTCACAGCAGGTTTTGAATCTGACCTTTTAGCTGCCACATCTAAAGTGGCCAGAGCCCATGGCCTGCAAAGCCTGCAGGTGATGATCTGACCAGACTTCCGAGAACTGCTTCAGCAACGTCTGGCGGGAAGCGATGACGGCTTCCTGTCGACTAGTCAATTATGCCGCAACCAATCTCAAAAGCAGTGCGCACACTAGCTGCACTAGCTTTGGTGCAGCATCTGTTCGGAGTGAGAGACGGGCGACGAGTTAACAGTTAATCACGGGAGTTACTTGCAACGGTCGACTCACACAATGGGGGCAACGTAACATGACCGAGGACAGTCTGCGCTCCTCCACCAGAGTGGACTGCAAGTTGGCAATCTCGTCCTGCATAAGGAAATCTTGCTTTGGCGATGTCCTAAATAACACGGATTGAACCCTTGGACCGCTGAAGGTGCTCGGCATGTTGCAAGGATCCCGATCACTCACAGTCACAGCAAGTCACCACAATTACGTCGGCACACAGGTGAGAGCCAGCCAGCTCCGCCTCCGTGCACTCTCGGCGTCTCTGGAGTAAGCTTCTCATGCAGAGGGCCCAGTGTACCACTACTGAAACTCTCATGCAGTTTTCTACAGGCCTGATCTCTTTCCTCAAGGTGCCCTTGGGTTGGGTTCCCTGCCATGTATTCCCCGTGGAACGAATATTTTCGCCTGCCCAAGCCCCCGGATTGAAAGCAGCCTACGCCCAAGCGGAGACGGACACCACATCTGTCAGCGTCCTGCAAGTGCTTCTGCACCTCCGCCGCACCGAAGTGGTTCACAACAGGCTGAGTGGTGATGCGGCCTCGGGGTGATGCTGAGCCGAAGCAATCATATCGCAAAGCCAACCATGTTGTTTTGTCCGGAGTTTGGCAGGCAAAATTCAAGACGCCCCCGTCGCTTTTTGCTCCTTCTCCGCGCCTCCGACCTCCTACGATACGGCGGAAAGTCAGGTTGACACGGCCTTCGAGGCAGCTTGGGTCCTTGCATCGTAAAAGTATGCTCACGAAAGTTTCGCGAGATGTGCTCAAGCTCCATGCAGGAAAGGCTCAGGAGGAAGCGAATGCTGCCAGTTAGCCTGCATGGCGCCTTGCACGTGCAAAAACCAAGATGCGGAATCGGACATGCAAGTGTGACTGCCAGACTCCCACGGAAATGCTTGGCAGTCTGGCATCTCGAGCCCTGTCCCCTGCAGGCGTCCTCCCATTACCAGCAGCGACCCTGGCTGCAGCAGAATTCGTTGCAGCTGCTGCGCGCTGCCTAGGATGGAACTGCGCACCGGTGCGATGGACACAATAACGGCTCGAAAGCAACTAGAAAATGGATCGACAGAGACTAGGGAATTTCGAAAAAAAACTACAGATTTTGAAGCCAAGGAGCAAGCCGCTCCAAAGGAACTAGAGAAATCCAGAACAGGGAGCCAAACGCTCGAAAAAGACTAGGGAATTTCCAAAGAGACTAAAGAAATTGAAAGCAAGGAGCACACCGCTCGAAAGAGACTAGGGAATCTCGAAAGAAACCCCAGAATTCGAAAACGAGGAGCACACCGCTCGAAGTGAAATAAAGAATTTCAGAACAAGGAGCACATCGACGAAAGAAACTAGAGAATCTCGAAAGAGAACAAGGAGCAAAGCGCTCGAAAGCAACTAGAGAATTTCAGAAAAAGGAGCAGACCGCTCGAAAGAAACTAGAGAAATTTCGAAGGAAAATAGAGACTTTGCAAACAAAGAGCAAACCGCTCGAAAGGAACTAGACACTGTCAGAACAAGGAGCAAACCGCTCGGAAGAGACTAGCGAATTTCGAAAGAGATTCGAGAACTTGACAACAAGGAGCAAACCGCCCCGAAGGAACTAGCGAATGTCAGAACAAGGAGCAAACTGCTCGAAAGAGCTTTCGAAAGAGGCTGAAGAAATTGACAACAAGGAGCACACCGCTCGAAAGGAACTGGAGGAATCCAGAACAAGGAGCACACCGTTCGAAAAAGACTCGGGAGTTTCAACCGAGACGAGAGCAATTGAAATTTAAAACAAGGAGCAAACCGCTCGAAAAGAACTAGAGGATTTGAGAACGAAAAGCACACCGCTCGAAAAAGACTAGGGAATCTCGAAAGAAACCTCAGAAATTAAAAACGAGGAGAAACCCGCTCGAAAGGAAGTACAGAACTTCAGGGTAAGGAGCAAACCTCTCGAAAGAGACTAGAGAAACTGAAAACAAGATCAGAAGAAGGAGCAAACCGCTCGAAAGAGACTAGAGAGATTGAAAACAAACAGCAAAAGGACTAGAGACGTTCGAAAGGTCTTTGAAAACAACGAGCAAACCGCTCGAAAGCAACAGAAGAAAGAGCAAACCGCTCGAAGGAGATTAGAGAATTTCGACATAGACTAGGGAATTTGGAAACAAGGAGCAAACCGCTCGAAAGGAACTAGGGAATTTCGAAAGAGACTAGCGAAATTGAAGACAAGGAGCAAACCGCTCAAAAGAAACTAGAGACTTGTTTCGGAACGTGAGAATTTCGAAAGAGACTAGAGAATTTGACAACAAGGAGCAGACGGCTCGACAGGAAATAAAGGCTTGTTCGAAGAACTAGGGAATTTCGACAGCGATTAGAGAGAAAACAAGGAGCAAACCGCTCGAAAGAAAATAGAGAATGTCAGAACAAGGAGCCAACCGCTCGAAAAAGTCTGAAGAATATCGAAAGAGATTAAAGGTTTTTAAAATAAGGAGCAAACCGCTCGAATTTGAACTAGAGAATTTCAGAACAAGAAGCAAACTGCTCGAAATGGACTTGAGAATCTGAAAACAAGGACCAAACCGCTCGTAGGAGACTAGAGAATTCGAAACAGACCAGACAGTTTGGAAAAAGGAGCAAACCGCTCGAAAGGAACTAGAGAAATCCAGAAACAAGGAGCAAACCGTTCGAAAGAGACTAGAGAAAGTGAAAACAAGGAGCAAACGGCTCGAAAAGAACCAGAGAATTTCAGAACAAGGAGCAAACCGCTCGAAAGAGACTAGAGAATTTCGAAAGACACTAGAGAATTTGAAAGAAAACGAGCAAGCCGCTCCAAAAGAACAGAAGAAGGAGCAAACCGCTCCAAAGAGACTAGACCCTTTCGAAAGAGACAAAACAAAATGAAAACAAGGAGCAAACCGCTCGAAAGGAACTAGGGAATTTCGAGAGCGACTGGAGAATTTGAAAACCAGGATCAATCCGCTCGAAAGGAACTAGAGTCTTGTTTCGGGGCGAGAGAATTTCGCAAGAGACTAGAGAATGTGAAAACAAGGAGCAGGCGGCTCGAAAGGCACAAGAGTCACTAGAGATTTCTCGAAAGATGGAAAGGCACTACAGAAATTGAAAACAAGGAGCAAACCCCTCGAAAGCAACTAGAGGATTTCAGAACAAGGAGCAAACCGCTCGAAACAGACTAGTGAAATTAAAAGGAGGAGCAAACCGCCCGACAAGGAATGAGGAATTTCGGAAACAAGGAACAAACCGCTCGAAAAAGACTATGGAATTCCCAAAGAGACTAAAGAATTTGGAAGCAAGGAGCAAACCGCCCGAAAGGAAATAGAGAAACCCCCCGAAAGAAACTACAGAATTTCGAAAGGGACTGAAGAATTTGACAACAAGGAGCAAACCGCTCAAAAGGAACCAGAGAATTTCAGAAGAAGCAGCAAACGGCTCGAAATAGACTAGAAAATTTCGAAAGAAACTATAGAAATTGAAACCAAGGTGCCAGCCGCTCGAAAGGAAGAGCAAACCACTTCAAAGAGACCACAAAATTCAAAACAAGGAGCCAACCACTCGAGACAGACTAAATAGTTTCGAAAGAGACTAGCGAGTTCAAGAACAAGGAGCAAACCGCCCGAGAGCAGAAATTCAGAACAAGGAGCAAACCACTCGAAAGAGACTAGAGAATTTCGAAAGAGAGGGGAGAAATTCAAAAAAATGGCAAACTGCTCGAAAGAGATTAGAGAATCAGGAGGAGCAAGCCACTCGGAAGACACAGGGGAATCTCGAAAGAAACCTCAGAGACTGAAAACAAATAACAAACTGCTCGAAAGGAACCAGAGAATTTGAGAACAAGACAAGGAGCAAACCGCTCGAAACAGACTAGAAAGATTGAACACAGGGAGCAAGCCGCTCGAAAGGAAGTAGGGAATTTCAGAACAAGGAGCAAACCGCTCGAAAGAGACTAGAGAATTGTGCCAAACACTAGAGAATTCGAAAACAATGAGCAAACCGCTCGAAAGAGGCTAGCGAATTTCGAAAGAGGGAACAAGCCGCTCGAAAAGGAACTACAGAGTTTGAGAACAAGGAGCAAACCGCTCGAAACAGACTAGAGAGATTGAAAACAGGGAGCAAACCGCTCGAAAGGAACTAGATAATTTCGAAAGAGATTGGAGATTTTGAAATCAAGGAGCAAACCGCTCGAAAGGAACTGGATAATGTCAGAACAAGGAGCAAACCGCTCGAAAGAAACTGGAGAATTTTGCAAGAGACTCGAGAATTGGAAACAAAAAGCAAACCGCTCACGAGGAACGAGCGAAACCCCTCAACTGTACATGCAGTCATGCAGGCAGGTGTTTTGGCTGCACACATGCAAACCGCATGGCCGTCCAGGCCCAGGCAATCCAAACCCTGCAGGGAAGCAACTCCGATGGGCGCACACCACACACTGGACATAACCAGTCCAATAATGCATTTCACCCCCCATCGGGGCGGGCGGGCGGGCAAAATTCAGCTGCTTGACCTGAGGCAGCAAATGCACCTGAACAAATGAGAAACCTGGCAAGACAAGCTGCAAGAAGAGGACATGACATGCTGCAAAGTCCAACGAGGGTTACGTGTGTGCCTTGGCCTAGCCCACCAAGCCCCAAGGCAAACACCCCTTTCACAAGATGCAGCAAACCACTGGAAAGAGACTAGAGAATTGGAAAACAAGGAGCAAACCGCTCGAAAAGAACTAGAGACTTTCGAAAGAACAACGGGCAAACCGCTCGAAAGAGACTACAGACTTTGATTGAGAACAAGGAGCAAACCGCTGGAAAGGGACTGGGGAATGTCAGAAAAAGAAGCAAACCGCTCGAAAGGAACTAGAGAATTTCAGAACAATTAGCAAATCGCTTGAAAGGGAGCAGAGAATTTCGAACGAGGTTGATCATTTGAAAACAAGGAGCAACCCTAGATAATTTCGAAAGAAGGACCAAACCTATCGGAAAGAGACTAGAGATTTTGCAAACAAGGAGCAAATCGCTCGAAAAGAACTAGAGAATTAGAAAACAAGGAGCTCGAAAGGAACTAGAGACTTTAAGAACAAGGAGCAAGCCGCTCGAAAGAAACTAGAGAATTTCAGAACAAGGAGCAAACCACTTGAAAGAGATTAAAGATTTTTCGAAAAATTGAAAACAAGGAGCAAAGCGCTCGAAAGGAAACAGAGAATTTCAGAACAATGAGCAAACCACTCGAACGAGGCTAGAGAATTTCGAAAGAGACGAAAGAATTTGAAAACAAGGAGCAAACCGCTCGAAAGAGACGAGAGAATTTGACAACAATGGCAAACCGCTCGAACTGAACTAGAGAATTTCTAGAAGAAGGACCCGTGTGCGGGAGAGAAGGCTTTTTTTGGACCCTGTCCACGTTGGTGGAGATACAAATAAGCCTCTGGACTTCACGGAGGGCTTTCTTCGGACTCTGTCCATGCGTGCTCGAGAAGCTGTTGAGCGCCGGGCCTACACAGAAAGAGCCTTTCCGACAGAATCCAAGAGAAACTATCGGGACCAAGCAAAAAGCCCTGCCCTGGACACAATCCTTGCTCTGTACGAGTCACGCTGTGCTGAGTGCCCGGCGGTCTGTGTCGCCCCGCCGTGGCTTCCGCCGCACTTCGAAGACACGGGCCGCACCGAAAGACAGCGAGCCTGTACAGTTTCAACCGCGGCAGCAAGACTTCCAAACGCATGTGACCATGACAAAATCGTGTCACGGCTCCGATGAGGATGTTGTCCGAAGGCCCGTAGCAATTCCTCGGAAAGGAGGGCATGGAGCTTCCCAAACGAGTGCACAGGGTGTACATGAGAGCTTTACCACGAAACTGGGAACCTCAACTCAGGCGGCCACTCATCATCTGCATGCCATTTGATTTGAGCTTTGCCATCTTTGTAAAAATTCACGAGTATCTGGCCAGCTGACAAGGCCGTCGCGCAGAAAGGTTGCACCAAAACACACTCCACTGACATCCTCCCGGTCAGGCTTGGCTCCCCACACTATTGAAGAAAGGCTGCAACAGGTCAGGAGAAATCTTTGTTTCACCTCAGTCGGATTACAACGCCTCGGGGGGAGCATGGTGAATGTCAATGCCTTGTGCGACACATGTAATTAGTAATGTAGTGGCAGGGCACCAAGCGGCTGATGCTCCATGGCTAAGATCTTGCCGACTTCTTCCTCAACCATCCGCTTCAAGTCCAAGATGCATTGTAAGTTCCTGGGAGCAGCCGTTGCGAATAAAACCCCGCACCATGGCAGCGCGCAACAAGCCCCATGAAGTCAGCTGTAATGCGACCTTGCCGAAGCGTCTCAAGGGGTCGTCCCGCTAAGCACCAGCGAGGATTGTACCGGAAGTCCATTGCCTGGAGGCCTGCATCTGGGACCTGATGCACAGCCACTTGAGCTGGTTTTCTTCACAACTCTCGTGCAGAGGAGTGTCAGTGTGATCAAAAGTACCCGCTGCATAAAACTGGGCGCGCTCATTCTCTGCCGAGGTGTCCTAGCAACATTCTGCAAGCCTATGGGGAATGGGGAACGTCCGAGTCTGCAAAGCAGTCGCCAGGTTCCTTGGGCGGAGTCGGCATCGTCAGTGTGCTGTTCTGCAAAACAGCAGTCAGCTCGTCATACCATGCGCCGGGATCTTTGTCACCAGTTATCGTTGGGATATAGTACCTTGTTAGGCAAAACATGGCAAAACACGAGGGACACTTCACTACGCGTGGAAGCTGTCAACACACTCATGGAATCTCCGGGGTGACTTGCGCCGTGCATGCGCACGACGACTGACTTGAAATTACATTCCCATCACAGGCACGTGAAGCTTCTCTCATCCAGTTTCAGAATCACTGGATCTGGCCCGCCCAGCAAAGGTTCGACCTGCCTGAAAAGGAACCGCGTCGCACTCACAAATGCGACTTTGATCTTCGATTCGAGGTCTCCTGGCTGCATCGCCGTCACGGCCGTCGCAAGTAGCCATTGGCTCGCCATTCACGGGCACGACTCCGGGGTGTGTGACGTTGCATGGCCGGCATAGCCATCTGCATGCTACAACTCTTGCTTCTGCATGCATGTTTTGTGCCTCTGCTCTCCACCTGAATCTGAGCTGAGGCAAAGAATTTTGCCTCCTACTTAGCAAGGACGTGCCCGCATTGCAGGGTGGTAAGTGGCAAGGAGCCTTTCAAACAACCAGTTCAGGTTGACGACTTTGCCCCCGGCCCGTGGACTCGAGGAAGCGGCAGGTGAGGATGTTCTCATCGAAACCTGGTCTCGCGCTTCCGAGCCAAAGCAACTGCCCACACGGCAAGAGAACGCCTGCGGAGCTTGGAGTCAAGGTCGCCAGAAGAGTCGTTCGACTGTTGCTTGCCAGGCTGTCGGAGAGCCTCGCCATGCTTCTCCCTGTCTGCTCTACCCCTCTAGTATAGGACCATGCCACATGCAGCGAAGGCATACAATCTCAGGCACGGACAGCATCGTCAGTTTGGAGTTCCTGAGCAAAGCTAAAGTCTGCTTCTATGGGCACTTGTTGGGTTCTGACGTGGAGCCCCGAACCTATAAGATCCTATAAGACAAAGTGGGATCATGACTCCCCCCTGCCTAAAGGGCACGTGGTCGCGGTTGCCGTCGCAGAGGGCATGGATGCAACTCGCGAGGTCGAAGAGACTACGGTTGATGTGCCTGCATTGCGCGGTGACGACATGTCATGTGCCAGCAGCTCATTTGGTGGAAACCACGGCCTGAGCTCTCGGAACCGGTCACCCTTGCATTCTGATGTCTGCTCATTCTCACGGCCGGCCAGGTCAACGACCTGGAGGCCACAGACTGAGAACAGCTGTGGTCTGGGCATCGCAGGCCGTCGCGGGCCTGCACGGTTGACATGTGGTCTCCGTTGGAGGCATTTCGGACTTCAACCTGCGAGGTGATCAGAGCATATCAGAGCCCCGTGTCTCCGCTCCGCTCACGTCTGTGTATGTCCGAAGTTCACCTTGAACATGAAGATCGTGTGCGAACGACTCGATCGGTCGTTCATCGTCGTCCTCGGTCAGCATGGAGAAGACACTGCCCACTGCAGGAGTGCAACGAGAGGCTGCAAGAGAGAGAAGGAGAGAGCAATTGACAAACTTCGGTGTCCTCTCCACCTTCTTGGCCTTCTCTCCTGCAAACCGGGCTGGGTCCGCGCTTCGCAGCGGTCCACACACTCGCCTTTGGAAACCAGGCGCGCAACGTCCCGGAGGTGTTCCACAGGCAGCTCCTGGACCGATGCTTTCTGTTTACCCCTGGCTGTGCCATCTCAAGCGCAGCTTTGACCGTCTGGCAGTGGAGAGGCCTGAAGGTTTTCGACGTAGACCCCAACAGCTGGATGATTCCGTATCTCCAGACGAGGGCCTGCAAGGAAGGATGCACACGTTGGCCCGTAAAGCCACAGCCTCTGAAAGCAAGCAACACCTGCTGCAGTTCCCGGCTTTGAAAACCGGCGTGGGCTAGGGCCTGGCTTGAACCAGGGGCTCTTTCCGCATAGCTCTACGAACCTGCAGGTGTGGCAAAATTGAACCAATCTCAGGGCTCGGCTGTCGTTTTCGGTCCGGGACAGGCTTGGCCCGGCATGCTCCAAGAGATCACGCAAGCGGTCGTTGTAAACCTCTTTCCAGAAGTTTCACGGCACTTTGCGAAACTCAACAGCTGCCCATGTTTTTGCACAACCCCAAAACCTAGCGGGCCCAGCGAGCATGGGTTGAAGTCTTCCTAAAGGTGCCGTACTGTGCATGCTGCACTTAGTTTACTGCACGCAATAAACCTCACACCGCGGCCTCGACATAGCTGATGCGAACCCGCCACGACGCACCTCACCACATCTTGCGTAAATGGAAATGCGTGTGCCGTTGAGTTCAGTTTGAGATGCCTTTTAGGGAATTGCCATGCTTGCCGCAGCTTTTCCAACTTGTAGATCATAGACTGATCATAGACGCGCTCAGATTGCTTCTTTGAGTCTTTCTCCGGGCAGCACTAGGTAGACAAACCAAAGCCGATAAAGCCTGACCTTCTGCTCGACATTGATCCAGTCGCTGAAACAATCCTGCGGCAGATTCGGCAACATTCACCACTTTGGCAGGTGCTGCTGCTAGATCATGTCAAATTGGCGTGTTGCGCAAAGTCTTGACAAGTGGTCAAAAGGTCCTTCAGAGATCCGCGGCAGAAGGCCCCGATGTTCGTGGCTCTGCCAATCGCCATGCACGGTATGAGTCTTCCTCAAGCGGGCATGCTGTCTGCAGTGGATGCTGCACGAGGTCTAAATGATTGTCTGGGAAAGCTGAAGATTATGCCGAATGCTGAGAAATGAGCCCTGTCCCGGTCTGCCCGTAGGCAACCAAGCAGCAGTTGAATCCTCCGCTCCGCCAGATTGATCCAGAAGATGTCACGCATTACAGGGTGAATGCCAAGCTCGAGGCCAGTCGTTCCGTGCATGACCATCTCTGCACCAACACTGTTGTAGATGGTACCTGCCAACACACCGTGGGTTCAAGACGACTCATCAGAGCAAGCTCTGCCCCTCGCGGCTACCAGTCCGTCCGCGTACGTTCGAACTGCATGCACACGTCGCACCACCCCTGCAGCAAAAATTTACAATCAAGCGGCGAAGGACCTGAAGATGCAATGAGGGCCGATGCGCGGCACCATGATGCAGTTGACAGCTAACCGAAACGTCGAACTGCCAAACGAAGCAAAATTCATCGGGCACGCTGATCTGAGTAATTGTCCGACTTGGGGCGACCTCAGTTCGGAATTTCGACCATCAACCTGCAGGTTCCCGGAGGTCCTTCACAGACTGAGACCGCCGCTGGAATCGAAGGCGAAGGTGCATTCAAACTCGCGCCCGGGTTGTTGCGGCTTCTGCAGTATATCCATGACTCAGACAATGCAGCTGCGCTCATCCACAAGACCAGCCTCTGGATCAGACAAAACCACATGGCCGTTGGGCTTCATCTGCCAAGCATTCAGCAAACACAAGCTATCCTGCGGTGTAATGCGGCCTTGACTAGATACACATGACGTTTGAAATCAAGGGCCGAAATTTACATGCACTTTTGCATGGCATGTGGACCCCATTGTGGAGGCCTCGACACAGCTCACGGGTGCGGTGCCCAACTGGCGGGACAATTAAGCGAAGCACAGAAAGAAGCTTGCGAGTCTGCGCTGGGAGATAGCGACTCCTGCAACATCCGCCTTGCTCAATTCATTCGGAAGGAACGGCCGCAATCGCACAGCCGTCTGCACCTCGGGTCCATACGGGCAAGCGGTAGCCCACATGCAAATAAGTTCGCAAAGTTATCAGCCCCGCACGAACTCATTGGAAGCTCGGGGGCTCTTCTCGCTATGCCTCCCTGATTTGTTTGGAGAAACTGACCTGCGCTGCGTGAAGCAGCATCCAAGTAATGATGCAAAATTCCAGCAACACTGTTGGCTTGATCGGGCTAAAGATACCCCATATCCCTTGCTTCACGTGGGACCTTCGCCTAGGCGAGGCGTCGGCGCGGCTTTGGGCTCCCTTCACGTGGCATGCGTTCAGGTCAGGCATTGTGGGGAGCGCAGAAATCTTCAACTGGACCCACAGCTTCCAATGCGAATGGCACGCTATGACGCGCGCGAGACTTGCCGATGCCTGAGGGAAGAAAGATGACATGGCGATTGGCCATGGAAGCCCTGCACCTTGAATGGCTCCCGTGCAGATGATCAGTGCTCGATCCTACAATGCAATGCAAATGTGCAGATGTTGCAGCTGTGGCCGGCACATCCCTCAAGGAAGGCAGGGCTTGATGAAGTCGATAAGCTTTGGGGAGGCAAAATGGCACACCAGATGGCAAGCGTTTTCTGTGGGCAACGGCAAGATTTCACCAACTCCCGAAACCAAGAACATGGCACATGCTGCACAGGACAAAAACCCGCCCACCATCCCGAAATCTGCAGAAGATTGATCGTGAAAGGTGCAAGCCTCAAAGATGCCTTCGCCGGCTTTGGGTACCTTCCTGCCGGCTTGCAGAAGCAAGATAGCAACGGAAACCGTCAGGAAGGATGCTGCACTACATCGTGCACATGCAACGTAAACTATCAGCGGCAAGGTCTGTGCGAATCGAAAGGCCCCTGTTGAACTCAACAGCTGTTTGGCCTGTGGCCTTCACTTCCAATTCTGCTATCAATTTGAGAGGGTTGGCGAGCAAGCTCCAATGTCTTTGAGCTAAGCCTTCGATGCACATGAACATGAGGACTTCCAAGATTGGGTCACCAGCCAACAGCAGCTGGACAAAGTGGCAGGAATGAGGGATTGGGCTGCAACACAGCATGACGATGCAACGCGGCCTTGGCAAAGGCTTGAAGTACCAGACAACCAGGCGTCCATCCTGCGTAGTGTGACGCGATGTGCTACCCTGGCTGCTGAGCATTCATCCATATTCTCCCTGAGCGCACCGATCTCCTCGGAGGAGGTGGCGACCAACCAATGCGGCTGGCTCGTGAATGACTGGCTGCGACAACAGCAGGAGAAGCAAGACCTCAGAAGAGCCACGCGGGTTGGGCAGTTGCTTCATGTCAGAGTTGTCTGCAGCCCCTGCCTGGCACAGAAAACTGTGTGCTACTTGCACCAGGCTTATTCTGTGCTTTTTTGCAGGGTACCCTGCGAATAGCCCATGCTTCTGACAAGCACTTCTCCTCGTTCGCAGCACAAGGTCCCGGGGCATCTGCTGGAGAAGTCCTCTTTTCTTCGGCTTCCTCGAAAGGGAACGGCGAGTTTGGAATGGCCTCTCGATTCACGAAGCAAAACGCCCGATAATGCCTGAAAGACCGGACTCTCCTTCTTCTTGGGTATGGGCGTCACCAACGCAGTTATGCACTTGCTTCGGCTGACGATGCATGCGATGTTCTGGACTCTTAGACTAGATTCTGGGCATCAGCTCCAAAATAAGTCGGGCTGCATCAAGCAGCAACAGGAGCTCTGAGCGCCAGCACAAAGTGCACAAGAAGGTCTGAGCACCAGGCCGCAGAGAAGGCACTGCCTCGTTTCGGGGTGGAACCGACGTGGCTGTTGGATGTCTAAACTGATTCGATCCACCATACGGCGCACACAGGTCCCTGAACACGACGTGGACCCTGGGAGGCGCCTGCAGCGGCTTGGGGCCTGAAGCCTCGCTGGGTGCCGTGGAGACACCCGAAGCCAAACGGCTGCTGGCCTGGCTCAACAATGAGCTGGATCATGGCATCACGGGGCGATTGTGGGCAGCTGCGTCTTGCGCTGCACCGCCTACGTCGCTACTCTGGCCGGGGCTGTGGCTAGCAATGCTGTAGTGGGTGCTGGCAGGCAGCATGAGATGGATGGCAGCTCTTACAGTGTAAAGAGCTGACCCCTGCAAAAGCTGACAGGCTCAATCATGCTCCGTGGAGCCATTCCAAAAACTATCTGCTGCTGGTGCCTGCGTCGATTTGGTCTTGGGACTGTCCACCTCAGCCTCCACCTGTCGCGTTGCCGACAACGCACTTTGCAGGCTGTCGCTGAGTCTGGCTTCTCCTGCCCTCGACATCTTTGCAACGTTAAGCGAAAAGACAGAGTCTGGAAGCCTGCCTGGGAGCTGTCAGACCTCGACCCAAGTCAAAGACGGCTCGGGGCCGAATCCGACACGACACCGAGGCCTGGGCCCTTTCCAAAGCAGGTCCTGAAGCGAGCACGCGACAAAGAGCATTGTCTTGCACTTCAAGGGGCCAACTGATGCCTCCAAGGCCTCAGGGATGCGGCTGCTTCTCAGCAACAGCGCCTGAGCCACGGCGACATCAATGGCCACTCCCAATGCGCACATGCTTCCTGGATCGATCGAAACACATATCCATCCATCCACCCATCCATCAATCGCTACACAGACACATGTACACATGCACATAAACAGACGCATCCACGACATGTACACGCACGTATACATGGGAGAGATGGAGAGATGGGCGGATGGATGGATGGATGGACAGAGGTAGAGAGAGAGGGAAACATGGACAGCGAAGTAGAGAAACAGACAGAGGAAAATGGATGGGCATGGATGGATGGATCGATGGATGACAAAGATACATGGAGTGGACATACTAGAAGTAACAGTAAGCATGAATGAAGATGTTGCAGATAGAGGCCTAGCCGTCTAGTCCTGGCCATGCCTGGGAGATGGCCTCCGAATGTGCTTGCAGGACGTGCACTGGCTCGGTACTCTGCGTCCCGGGCCTCGATTTCCACAAGAGCCGAAATTGTGACAAAACGGCAGTATAGCAAACAGACTTAGAGATGGTTGGAATCTAGAACCTAGTTTGTGTTGCTGTAAAGACTCGGACACTGACTGCAGACTGCAAGCCCAGTCTTCCACTGTCATCAAAAGTCCAAGGTCGGGGCGAAACATCCCAGCAGCACACTGCACCCTTCCCATCGGCGCTAAGGAGGTAGGACGAGCCTCCATTGCTGGCATTGACAGTCGGACTCTCAACGTACAGGCGACAGGTCGAGTGTGAGCAGCAGGGCACCGCAGTCAAGGTCACAGTAGGCTTTGGCCTTCCAACTCTGCGAGAGCCGTTACCTCGGCACTGAGAGACTTTCTGAGGTCAACTGCTGCAATCTGGCAAAGAAGTCGCACAAGGCAGCTTCATGTTTGGGTTGCTTTTCCGCACTGCACGTGCTCTTGCATTGGTGTCACACCATCATCCGACATTAGCCCGTAGCCCGCACTGGTCACAAGGGAGATGCGGAAGGTCAGGCAATGCACGGGACCGAACTCGGCCCAGCCAAAAAACTCCACTCAGTTTTCGAATTAGGTCTTCGCTTCGAGTTTCTCTAGGAGCTGGTCACGGCACGGCTGTTCCTGCACGGGGTCATGAACGTCTCCTGGCTGGCCTCGCAGAAGGGATACGTGCACAGGCAGTGCTCTTGCGAAACGAGTACCTCGCTTCAAGTGCACTGCGTGCGGTAAGGCAGCCTCGGATGTTCTCGATTTCTTTGAACCTGGGTGGCGCACAGCGACTGCTCTGCCTCTTGAGGCGACAATCAAGGCCAGGCCTGGTGCTGACAGGGTCTCCTGCACCAAAAGTCGAAGCTCTCGGCTATCCAGCTGCAGCTCGCGAACCTGCAAGGAAAGACATGCAGAGGCCTCGCTTAGTCCCTTTCCCAGAAGAGTAGCAAGACTCCAAGCAAAGCCGAAGTGCTGTAGCCGGCCGACGTAGAGCTCGAAAGCGCAAGCCGCTGCAGACAAAAAGCGGAAACTGAAGTCTTGTTCCAGGGCGGGAGTGGAGGGCCCCAAAAGCTGAAGGAACCAGCATCGTTGTCAGCATGAAGGAACATGCAGAGGCCTCGCTTAGTCCCTTTCCCAGAAGCTACGCGCAACTCTTTTTCAGCAG